ATTTGCCTTGTATTTACCAGTGATGGAGAAGATTTATGAGAAAGTATAATATTATGAAATAGTGATGGAAATGCAACTTATAATGGAGATTGCAGCAACATGGCCACAATTGGAATGATATGGGATTGTGGATTTTCTGATATGAAGAGAGAAATCCAAAGGACCAAATAGTTGGCGCCATGAAACTAGCAGGTAAGAGCATGTGTTTGATTCTTTTCAGTACTATCTTTAGAAAAGGTTTAAAACCTTAATCTCGGGATCCGTCCCGAATCAGACTATCCGTGAAGCTGGCGAATTAATTGGAATATCTAAAATAAAAGAAAAAAGAGAAAGCCAAATGATATTTGATAAGGGATTCAAAATTTATTGGGTGACAGTTATGGCAAATGTAGTGACTTGGCAATTTTAATTTGCTTTATGGGCACACATCTTCACTAACGGGGAATTTGCATGACAGCTTTGTTGTCAATGAATGTGTTAGGAGGGGTTGTCATGTTCAGAGATGTCTTTGGTGGTGTGAAGGCTGTGTCCACTGTTTTGTGCATGTGGGGCTTCTGCTCTTATGTTTATGTCATGTATACTAAAATGGGGGAATTGAAAGCTCAAATGAGGAACAACAATGAGTCATCCACAGAAATGATCCATAACGTGATGTGACTTGGACTATATCTTAGATAAGGTAGTTTATAATGTCCATCTTCCTCTAATTAGCCACTTTGACTGAGACTCGATCCAAAGGTTACTTGAATAGTTAATTACATGTTAAAATATCAATATTCTCCTTATTATATCTATCAGAAAAATATTTCTGCAGTTAATAAGTTATCTACATTTATTTCAAAACGACGTCGTTTTAGGATTTATAAGTTAAAAAATTATAATTATAAAAGCTATAATAACCTGGAATAGATTAAAATTACAAAAACACAGTAATTTTTGCCCTAAAACGACGTCGTATTAGGTTTATTACAGATAACTTACCTCCGGTAACTGCATAAAAAGCGAACCTTATATCTATTCCGTAATATAAATGCAAATTGTTGTTTATCTATAAATTATCTCGAGTTAATGAGCTTCAAATCTACAACACAAACCATGAACTAGATAGTTTATTAGATATCATTTTCATTAATGTGGGGCATTTAAGTTGATTTACAACTATCCATTGAATGCAAAAGAAATCTGTTACTTAAGATTTCTGGGATCTTAAATTAATCACGTATATAATATGTGCAAGTATATCAAGGCTGCATCCAACCTTTGTGAAGTCTAGGTAGCTCTCTGCAGACATATACCTAGACATGGTTTTTGCATTGCAGTAGGTAATTGTGTAATACCATATTTGGATGTGTCTATTAATTGTTACATTGGAGAAGAAAATTAATGAGCAAAGCTACTTACGAATGTAAGTTATTAGGACATCCTAGACACAACATTATTTGCATGATAACAAAAAGTTTGCCAATACCAAAAAAATTAAAATTAAAAGTGTACAGATAGGAGGGGGAGATGCCACGATTCAACAATCCTCCATCGTGATTTTCTTTTTAATTTTTTTTTAAAGGAATTATCATTCGTTTTATATAATATTATCTAAAGGAAAATAAAAGAGATTTTATTTTTATTTGGTTTGATTAAATAAAGGGAAAAATGTTTGTCATTTTAAATGATATAACACTTTGTCCTTTTAAGTGAGAGATAGACATAGACAAAAAAAATATTTAAATTTTAAATTAAAAAAAATCACACACTTTCTCTCTTCCATGATTTCCATTTTTCTGTATCTATCTCTCTCCTAAAATGACATAACTTATATCATTTAAAATGACAAACACTAAACCCTTAAATAAAAGAATGAAAAAATATTTGTCCTTTAAAACAGTTATTTTAGTTAAAATTATTATTATTTATTTAATATTTAAATTAAAAAATCTTCTATTCTCCTCCACTATAATATAACTGTTTCTCTCATTATACAATATTATAATTTTAATTAAAATAACATAATTTTATATCCTTTAAAAAAATACTAATCCCCTAAATGAATGAAATTAAATGTTAAAGAAATGAGGTGGTGGTATGGTAAGCCTCGAGCTTACAAATGTACCCTTATTCCGCTAGTTGTTTGATTTAAAGAATAATAAAGTTCAAAGATGAAAATGCCCACAAAAATTTGTTCCGACACCTACAGCTTTGATAGCATCACGTTAATAATATTGAGGTCAATAAAAAGGATGCATTATATGTATAAATTTTTTATTTATAAATTATATTATATATTTTTAAAAATGTGGGAATACATTTTTAACTGAGTCTATTCTTGAAATATATAGTTGAGTTTATAAATAAAAAGATTGTAAATATAATTTTTTTCCCAATAAAAGTACTTGTATTCCATAAATTATAACTGGTAAAGAATTTTATTGATTTGATAAGCCATATTGAAACATATCATACATGGTGTGAGACAATCTTGACTTGAATTTTCCAATTGTCCCAAAATCTACAGTTCGGGAATGATACAGACAAGTTAGGTATTCATTCAATTATTCTCTCATTAGTATCCTATAAAGAGGAGCGATAATATATGATGTGTGCATATTTCATGATAGGGCCCTCTGAAATAGGGACTCGTGTTTTTTTTTTAATTGTGCGTGTTGAACACGTGTTTGACACGCGGTCAATATTTTGGGACACGTGGTTAACTCTTTGACACGTTTTTTAACACGCAGTCAATTTTTTTGACACGTAGTCAATGCTCGGACACATTTTTTTTAATCTTAATTTTATTTTATTAACTAAAAATAAAAAAAATCATTTATAAATCAATTTTTTTCTGTTATAAAATTTGAAATGAAAAATTAACAAGGTACGAAAAATTATTTTTGTTTATATTTATGTTATGAAATTTGAATATTTGATTGGTTATATGACTTATTATGGACTGTTATATCTATTAAATATAAATTATATTATATATTAAAAATATTATTTAATATCAAAACGTGTCCCAACGTGTTGAAATATGCCATTTTTTAAAATTAACGTGTCGGCATGTCGTGTCCCGTGTCAGTGTCCGTGCATCATAGACTGAGCCTCATCCCGAATGAAAATAGATAGTTAAATGAAAGCATTATTGAGGTTTAGTTATTCTTGGGAGTGTCATCTTAAATAAAAGATCATATAATTAATCAAATTGTGATAGTTCAGTTGATAGTTAAAGGAGCTGAACAAGTAGGAAAAAAAATGACCTTTGTTTGATTCCTATATGTCCCATTTGAGAGAAGTTTAAATATTTTCATCCCTAACACTCCGGATTAGTCTTATAGCCAGTTCAAAGAGTCGAAGCTTATAAGGATACCAGGGTAAGGCAACTCACCTCAAAGAGGTAATTAGGATTGAGTTAACTCAAAAAAAAAATGACATGGTTATATGAGAGAATTATAATCATACAAAACTGAATCCATGGTAATAAAAGAAGAGAGAGAAAATTCAATAGATAGTTACAACATCATCGTCGTTGATTTAACCATAGTTATTAAAACCGGACCGACCCGGCAGGGTCGACCCGGGAACCGGTAAACTGGTCATATAACCGGTCCGGTTGAAGCAACGGACCGGCCATGCATCAGAACCGGTGCGACCCGGCCGATTTTCATAAAAACCGGTGACCCGGTCGGTTAACCGGTGACCCGGCCCGGTCCCAAAAAAAAAATCCAATTTTTTGTTTTTTATAAAAAAATCATAATAGCCATATTTGAATATTTTTTTGGTTATTGACTTACATAAGTTATGTACCTACAACACTAATATTATCTCAATTATGTACTATGCATAAAATTTTGAATTAATTTATAGTTAGAGATGTCGTTTTATGAACCTAAAGCCCCGTATCACGATCGTTATATTTTTGTTTGATTTTTTATTTGATAATAATATGTGATTTATTATTTTTTGTATTAAAATATTTGAAATATTTATCATTTTTTTTAGATATTTGAGTATGTTTATAATTTTTTAATATAGATTATAAAATTGCATATAATTACCGGGTCATGCGGTTGAACCAGTGACCCAGTGACCCGGTACCTCGACCGGGTCAATGACCGATCCGGTTTTAATAACATTGGATTTAACTTTGTACTGTTGTGATTTTTCCACGTAACCATATCATGTTTTATTTAACTAGAGGATCAATTTTTGTTATTCTTGCCTCCAATCACCCTATAAGCCCCATTTCAAATTTTAAAAGGTGTTATTCCATATGATATTTCTTTTTCTTTTTTTGTGTGGATAAATCACATATATCTTCTACGAAACAATTTCTGTTCAGATCAAATGCATAATTAAGACTTTAAACCCCTTCCAAAGATGTTATCGGAGAGGATAGAATAAATGTTCTCATCCCCACCTACTTAACTCCTATTCGCCAACTAAACTACGATCATTTGATTCCATGATATGATATTTCTAACACAATTCTTTGTTTACGTTCATTGATGATTGTAACTTAATTATTTTTGGATATATCTATTAATTCATCAAATATCCAGTTGATTCGGTTCTAGAATTGTTGGACTCATTATATTTAATTATATTTTTATAATATATATATTGTTGCATCATTTGATAAATTTAATATTTAAGATAATTATTAATAAAATCAAACTCAAAATAAAATATCTAAAGTGAAAAATATTATGCACCACAATATATCAAAATTAAACCTTTAAAATAATGAAAAATATATAAATGATATATAGTCCCGAACCTCATGAGAAATGATGATTCATGAAGGGGCCGTGATGGATGAGCCCAAAAGAGGCCCGTCATAAGGCCCACAAAGGTGAAGTTTTGGCGGGAAGACGTTGGTTTCCTTAACCCTTTCTGGTTTTCCCGCGACATAGTGCGCGCCCATTTGGTGAAGCGAGAACAGAGAAATTGAATTCCAAACTAAGAGGTTAGGGTTTTGGAGTGAGAAGAAAGCAGAAGCAGCAAAAATGGAAGCATATGGCGGGTACTTGGTGGATGAGAAATCCGTTACTGTTGAGAACGCTTTCTTGGAATTTCTCAAAAGGTTCTCTTCTTCTTCTTCTTCTTCTTCTTCTTCTTCGTTTTCATGATAAAAAATAATTAACTGTATTTTGTTTGAGTGAAATCAGCTTCAGATCTGGAAATCGGAACGAGCTCCATTACGAAGCGGAGATAGAAGTGATGAGAGACTACGAATCCAACACTATGTTTGTCGATTTCGACCACGTCATCAGATTCAACGATATTCTCCAGAAAGCTATCTCCGATGAATATTTAAGGTTTTTATTTATCTGTTTTTCTCGAAACCCTAACGTTTCTTAAGATATTGGAGACATTGAGACCTGTCTTCTGTGTTGAATGATAGATTCGAGCCTTATTTGAAGAACGCCTGCAAGAGGTTCGTTACGGAGCTCAAGCCAACCTTCATATCTGACGATAACCCTAACAGGGACATCAACGTTGCCTTCTACAACATTCCAATTGTTAAGAGGTCTCTGCATTTCACATTCCAATTTGATTCTCAATTAGTGAATTTTGATTTTTTGTTATTTTAATTGAAAATGGAGGCTTTGGAGTTTCTGTTTGATATTAATTTTACTGGGTATGCCTCAGTGAATGAGTTTTTAAATGAATTACATCAATTGTGTGTGTTGTTCACCACCATACTTACCCACCTTCAGGTTAAGGGAATTGGCCACATCAGAAATTGGTAGGCTTGTATCCGTGACAGGAGTGGTAACAAGGACAAGCGAAGTTCGGCCTGAGCTTCTCCAGGGGACTTTCAAATGCCTAGATTGTGGTGGGGTTATAAAGAATGTTGAACAACAATTCAAGTATACCGAGGTGGTTCACAGATAATTATTATTTTTTTATTCTTGTCATATATATGAATATCATGTGGTCTGCATGTTTGGGCTTAAATTATGATTCATTGTTATCTGTCATTCGCTTCATATCCTGATTCCTATTTGACTATTCCCGATGTTCTGTCATGCCACTGCAGCCAACAATCTGTGTAAATGCAACCTGTAACAATCGAAATAGGTGGGCTCTTCTGCGCCAAGAGAGCAAATTTGCTGATTGGCAAAGGGTCAGAATGCAGGAGACATCCAAAGAGATACCTGCAGGCTCTTTGCCCAGGTCATTGGATGTTATTCTTCGTCATGAGATTGTGGAACAGGCCAGGGCTGGTGACACGTGAGACTTCTCTTGCCCTAAATTTGCTTGAGCTAGTCAAATTACAGTGAAATTTTCACTTGTCAGAATGTGGTAGTCTCAATCAGCAATTACATTCTGTCTCACTGCAGGGTGATTTTTACTGGTACTGTAGTTGTTATACCTGACATATTTGCATTGGCATCCCCTGGAGAGAGATCAGAATGCCGTCGGGAGGCTTCTCAACGCAAGGGTTCTACAGCTGGAAATGAGGGTGTGAGCGGCCTCAGGGCTTTGGGAGTTCGAGACCTCTCCTACCGTCTAGCTTTTATTGCCAACTCTGTTCAGGTTGGTTATTTGTGGCTTGTTAATATTTAATGGTATGTTCATATGATGTGATATTTGATTTTGTGACGGTTGTTTTTAAATGGTTTGTTTCAGATTTGTGACGGCAGAAGAGATGCAGACATAAGGAATAGAAAGAAGGATGCAGATGAAGATGATCAGCAATTTACCGTTAGTTCATGATGCACACCATCTATATGCACTACTATATTACAATCTGATTTAGATTTGATATTGTCAGCTATTGTGATCTGTGTTGCCTCCATTATGAATCTTGTTGAATGTTTATGTTGATGTAAAGAGCCCTAGTTTAGCCTTAATTAATAACTATACATCATTTGCTATTTCCATTTGCTATAATCAAGTTACATATTTTCGGTTGATCACTATTCCCCCTATCTATCCTCAATATTATCAATCTATATTTCTTATGTAATACTGGTTGGATTTTTCTGTTCATTTTCTTTTCCTTTTTATCGTCTATTGTGGTTCTTCTTAACCTGATCATTTTTATCCACTACATACACTGCACACACATAATGTTTGTTCAATTTCTGTTATGTGTCTGAGAAAGAATAATTAACCCTAAGTTTAGCTGGTTGATTTGACAGGCACAGGAACTGGATGAAATTCAACGAATGAGGAACACTCCAGATTTCTTCAACAAACTAGTTGAGAGCATTGCTCCAGCTGTTTTTGGTCATCCGGATATAAAGCGAGCAATACTTCTTATGCTAATGGGTGGTGTCCACAAATTTACTCATGAAGGCATCAACCTCAGAGGAGACATAAACGTTTGTGTTGTTGGAGATCCCAGCTGTGCAAAGTCTCAATTTCTCAAGTACTCCCCCTTCTTCTTTTTGATGATTACTTTATACTGGTTTATCCAAATTGAATGACTTATGTATGTTAGTCTATCATTTCAGATATACTGCAGGCATAGTTCCAAGATCTGTGTATACATCTGGTAAATCATCATCTGCTGCTGGTTTGACTGCAACTGTTGCCAAGGAACAAGAAACTGGGGAGTTTTGTATTGAGGTCAATGTTCTGTGGCTCTTTTGTACTTATTGGAAGTGTAAAAAATAGTTGTTAACTATTTGCTAACTTTCATTTTTTTTTGTCATTTTTGTCTTAGTGTGCCATATATTTGCTTCTTTCCATGTTTTAATGAATTTAAAATGTTACAAACAAATTATGATATCAAAAAAAAAAAAAAAAATGTTACAAACAATGTATAACGCTTCCTACTTTATGTTAGATTAAACCAGTGCAACTTTTCATCTCTATTACTTGATAAATCATATTAACAGCATTAGAATTTTAAGAATTGGAAGAGTTGAGATCTGCTTTAGGTTGAAATTACTCCCAGGAAAAAAATGAATCAGGAAATAATAAAATGTTACATACATGCTTGCGAGACAAAGTTAGAGAAGGTGTTTGAGTCCTCTTTTTTTATCAAATGTGTGCTGCATATTTTAAGTTTGTTTCCCCATCTTGGATTGTAAATTCTAGTCATGCCAAATTGTTTAGATGATGTTGCAAATAGAATTTTACATTTAGCAAACCGTATTAAGTGTTGCGTAGAAATTATTTATGAAACATGGCTGCGAAGGGCATAAAAGAACTGCAAAGGAAGCGGGTTTTGATCTGTTTGGGCATTGTATCATTATTGATTGCTTAATATTTGCCACAATCTTGTTTTCTTATAGAGAACTTGTTTTCAGGCTGGTGCTTTGATGCTTGCGGATAATGGCATTTGCTGCATTGATGAATTTGACAAGATGGACATCAGAGATCAGGTAAAGGCATATGTTTTTTGACTTTGCATCCCATGGTCATGGATTGGCAAGTATCTCATATTCCATTGGATTGAAGGTTGCAATTCATGAGGCCATGGAACAGCAGACAATTAGTATCACAAAAGCAGGAATACAAGCAACACTTAATGCTCGAACTTCCATTCTTGCGGCTGCCAACCCTGCTGGGGGACGTTATGATAAGACTAAACCTCTTAAGGTAAGATGTTCTGTTACCCGGGTATTGATTGCCTTGCCATTAAGTACAACTTGGCCTAATTGCTTTAGTTTTTCTCTTTTCCTGTTCCAGTATAATGTGGCCCTTCCACCAGCAATACTTTCAAGGTTTGATCTTGTATATGTTATGATTGATGACCCAGATGAGCAGACAGATTATCACATAGCTCATCATATCGTGAGAGTTCATCAAAAGCGTGAAGGTGCTCTTGCTCCGGCATTCACTACAGCAGAACTGAAGCGTTATATAGCTTACGCAAAAACTCTTAAACCAAAGGTTTGATGACTAGTTTATGTCTTTGGGATCAAGTGCTTTCCTGAATGGGGACAAATTTACCTTTGGACTTCTTCCTTATTTAACCTGATTAATGCAGCTCACGTCAGATGCCAGAAAACTATTGGTGGAATCTTATGTTGCTCTCCGTAGAGGTGATACAAATCCTGGGAGTAGGGTTGCATATCGTATGACAGTTAGGCAGTTGGAGGCATTAATCAGGCTTTCGGAGGCCATTGCACGGAGTCATTTGGAAAATCAGGTGCTTTTATGTTTTCAGAGGCTTATCCGTATGCTATGCATTTATTACGTATTTTCCTTCCGTGGTCTAAAGAAGATTTCTAACAGGTGCAACCTCGTCATGTTCGTCTAGCAGTAAGACTGCTGAAAACATCCATAATAAGGTAGGACAAATATCTCTTGCTTACTCTCTTTTTTCTTTCAATTTTTAGTTTGGGAGCTATGTTTTGGCAATAATTCCGCATTTTACTTTTTCCTACAGTGTGGAGTCCAGCGAGATTGATCTGTCTGAGTTTCAAGATGAAACCCGCGATGACGGGGCAGGTAGTGGTGATGTAAATGATAATAATAGAGATGCTGACGGTCAAGTGGGAAACTCTACAGGTCAGCAAGCTGCTAGAACTAATGGTGAGGCATCGTTAACCCATTTTACCTTGAAATCATCTATCTTGACAAAGAAGCTTAATTATGATTTGGTTTAATTATCTTGCAGAAAATCCAGTAGATGGATCAAACCCCCAAGCCAAGAAACTTGTTATAAGTGATGAATATTTTCAGAAAGTTACCAGGGCCCTTATCATGTATCTTAGACAGCACGAAGAGACTGTTATGCAAAAAGGTGGTCACTGAAAACCTTTACGGTTTTTTAATATCTGAACACTAAGAACGTTATGAAGCATTCAATTAATTAGGCTTTGTTTTAATGGACCTGACACCTGTAACTTGTAACTTGATTCTTTGTCTGGGGCACATCAAGATTTATTTACTTAAACTAATTTTTCGCTAGGGATACTGTGAAGTGTCCAATGTGATCTATTATATTGAAAATTGAATTTTCTGTGGGCTTATTAATTGCAGGAACTGGTTTGGCTGGGATGAGGCAACGGGATTTGATTGCATGGTACGTAGACCAACAAAATGATAAAGGCAATTACAGTTCCATGGAGGAGGTTTCAGCAGAAATTTCCAAAATCAAAGCTATAATAGAGGTATAAATTTGTTTTACGTACTTCCAAGACTTTAGTATATATTATTGGCAGGCATGTTAACTATATCAAACCCTTGTACTGTAGAGTTTAATTCGAAGAGAGGGCCATTTGATAGTTGTAGATGATGGTAGGCAAGCAGCAGCAGAAGCTGCTGGTGCAGAGCAATCAACATCGATATCTAGAAATGACCGAATTTTAGCCGTGGCTCCTAATTATATCATTGATTGACTGCCAAATGATCAAAGAAATTGAAATCACTTCATTTCTCATTCACAATATTGCAGTGACCTGATTGATGGTTCACTTAGTCTTGTCTTGAGCTGCAAGCTGTTTCCTTATCTGATGACTAGATTAGTAATGCTGAAGATCTGACGTTGCTCCTGTATAATGAATGCATTTGTATATGGAATTTATCGCCAAAGAAGGGTGAACCAACAGCCGTGTGATATTTCATCCATTGTTTTAGTGGTCCTTACCATCATCTGTTTACTACTGAAGAGAGACTTATATATCAACTGTCAAAGTTTGACCGATGTTCTTATTATATTAGATTAGTTTTATGATCTATGTTTGTATTCTATTTATTTTTAGTTCTGAATATTTTATAAATGAACGGATTAGCCATTTCAACTTTTTAACAGATTAAATCTATATGGAAATTAATCAAGGCCAAAATTTCTCTTTTCACACCATAAGAAAAACTGCGAAGCTTTAGCATCATGTACTTGATAGCTAGTCTTGCTAATAAACCAAACTATATTATGTTACTTAAATTTTACATGAGAGTAGTTCTCCTATGTTATAAAGAGAAGTTATGTGAGACTTACCATTAAAGGATAAAAAAGAAAAGAAAAAAAACGGGTGTAATTTTTGAAGTGAGATAACATGAGATAATTACTTCATGTAAAATAAGAGTAGTATTTTCTTTGATATATACCAATCCTTGATTTACAAGCAACCTTCATTTCTATATTCTAAACGGACAAGGGTTTGAATAGAACTGAAGTCATTGAGGGCGAGATTGCAGTACCAGCGAAGCCATGTGCCAAGTTACATTTGAGTAGCCAAAGCAAACACAAACGCATTTTTGTCCTGAACAACACACAAAAATGATAAAAAGCCAAATTATGATTTACAGATCAACATCAGAGGTATTAAAATTAATAAAGTAAAATGACAGATAACATAAATACAAAATGGAAGGGACCCATATGAATATTTGCCACCTAAGGAATGAGTAGATTGCCAACTGTCATTTCCCCCACAAAAGATTTGTTTCCTTTTATATCCCTATGGTTCCACACTTAATTACAAGCAACACCTTGTCTTTGAAGCATATTAATCATATCAGTTAGACCAAACTCTATTAAAATACTTGATGCATTTTCAGTTTTGTCCTTGCATCATCTTTGACGTTAATGTATCATAATAGTTGCATGGGGCCGACAGGAGAGGGCTATGAAGTCATTTGAGTAAGCATCAGGTTGGCTGGCATGAATGGTCAAGCGGTCATGCACGTAATTAGGTTGGAACTTGGAAGTATGTAAGGGTGGTGTGTGCTGGAGTGGTGCCTTCAGAGTAATAAAAACTACATATTTATATGTGTGTGGCACTTATTTTGAAGAGACAAGTGGCTGGAACAGTTGCATTGAGTTCGACTTTGATAGTTTCATAAGTTATAGTTTAAGGACCACGATAGACTTGAGAGATAGATTACAGAGTAAGATTTGGAAACACAACACAAGATATGGGGTATTGGAAGTCTAAGGTTCTTCCTAAGATCAAGAAGGTTTTTGAGAAGAATAGTACCAAGAAATCTGCTGCTGCTGCTGAGATCTCCAAGTCCTTTGATGAGTCAAAGGTTTGTCTTCTCAACTTTTAAACCCTATGTGCATGTTCAATGTTCTTTTTTTGCTTAAAACTTCTTTATATATCTTGAAAATGAAACTATGATTTGGTGTTTGGTTTAGGAGGAATACAACAAAGCGTTTGAAGAAAAGAAGACTGAACTTCAAACAAAAGTACTTGAAATATATGAGGCTTCATCAACTGAAGTCAAGGTAAGAAATATATATATAGACACACACACACACCCCTCTACGTACATATATCAGAATAGAAAAAAAAAAAAAAAAAAAAAAAAACCATCAATATTGATTGAAAGCCCTTGTTAAAAAATTTCATCACCTTTACAGGGTTTGGTTAAAGAACCTAATGAAGCAGGGCTAAAGAAGAACTCCACAGCAGTTCACAAGTTCTTAGAGGAGCTCGTTAAAATTGGTAAATTATTTGTTGTCTTCTTATTTTATTTTTTCTTGGTTGAAATTTCTTGCCTTACTATTTACCAGAAAATTGCAACTTGGATCTCTATATTTTAAGAGTTTAATTTATTTAAAATAAAAGATAAGAGTTTATTTAATAGTCCAGTACTGTACTTAATCACAAATATATTTCAGATTTCCCAGGATCAAAGGCAGCATCTGAAGCATCTTCTAAGTTTGGACCAGCCTTGGTTTCAGGCCCAGTTTTCTTTGTTTTTGAGAAGTTATCAACTTTAATTGTTGTAGAAGAGAAAGAGGAAGTGAAAGTTGAAGCCCCTCCTACAGCAACTAAAACAGAAGAAGAAGATGAAACAAGTACTGTCAAAGAGAGGGAGATAGTGGTTGAAGAAGAGAAAAAGGATGAGGAAAAACCACAAGTAGTAGAAACCACTGAGAAAATTGAATCAGAGGCACCTGCAGAAGCTAAGGTGGAAGAACAACCAGCTGAGCTTGAACCAGCTGCTAAAGAGGAAGAGAAACATGCTGAAACAGTTGCAGTTGAGCAAGCAGAACCTTCAAAGCCTTGATAATTTCATTCCCCAATAGCAGATGCAAATATATGTGCATTAGTTTGCATATAATCAAAATTGTTATATACCAATGTTCTCTTATTCTTTTGTATCTCTGTAATTGATGTGGGGTGCATAGTTTGCTGTTGGAGATTTGATAATTAATGTGTATGTGAATGTTTGTTGTGAAACATTTTGTAATATTCATTTTCATTTTTCAGACAAAAAAATTGGGGTGGATCTTTTGGTTCATCAAATCCTTCATGTCTGTTGTTTCATTTAAATTAAAGTGATTAGTTTCCATGTGGGAGACCTGTTTGGCTGGATTTTCCTTTTATTTGCTTGTGTGTGTGGGGCTTCTCTTTACTATTCATTGACTTACATTCACTAGACAAATGTCCCATATTCCTCGGGATTAATTCTATGGTTCAAAAAGTTCAACTTATGAGAATATTAAGAGCCAACTCATCTAAAGAGATAATTAGAGTCTGATAAAAAAGAAAAAATCCATTCCCCATTAAACACACATATGATCTTTCAATCATGAAAAAATAACTTTACTATTGTTCCGATTCACAATTAGGGTCTAATACTTAAAAAAAGAAAAGAAAAAGAAGATACTTACGGGGGTGTATTGGATTAGGATTTTAAAAGACTTTTTTGAGATTGATAAGTGTCAAAGACACTATGTTTTTAATGTTAAAAATAGTTCAAATAATAATTAATATGATTAAATATATGGTGTTAATTGATATAATCTTAAAGAATATTAAAATGCCAACAAATAGATAAGATTCTAATCTTTTCTCATTGTTTCAGGTTGTTTTATACTAGAAGAACAAACTACTACTAACTTGATAAGGAGAATCGGCCGAAGATAAATCAAAAATAAAAAAAATAAAATAATCGGTCAAGCTCACCTTAATACTCTCTTCAGCGAGCAAGTAAGCGAGGAAAGCAATTGAGCTCGCTCCACTGCTCCCCACAGCGAGCAAAATGGCGAAGAGCTCGCTCCATTGCTCCCCACAGCGAGCAAGTAAGCGAGCAAAGCAATTGAGCTTGCTCCACTACTCCCCACAGCGAGCAAAATGGCGAGCAGCTCGCTCCACTGCTCCCCACAGCGAGCAAGTGAGCGAGTAAAGGAAAATAGCTCACTTCAGCAAGCCCCTCAGCGAGCGGGTCCAAAATTAAAAGCCCAGTTTTCAGCCTACAAATACAACGCGACGAAGCCTTCAGAGGGACACATTCAGAAGACGAAAGAAGGCGAACGCGGAGACGAAGACGAAGACGAAGGTAGAAGGCAGAAGCGGAGGAGAAACTCTGGAGCGGGATTCCAAAGGAGGAGAAGAAGATCAAAGCTTCACCATTGATCGTCTTTAATCAAGTTTTATCATGAACTCTGTTTATCTTTCAACATCTTTTTATTCTGAATTTATGAACATGTTAGGCTAGTTTATTTATGTAGTTAGGATTATCGATCCAATGTGAATCCTATTTGTGGTTTAATTTAGTTTCTTTAATAAATTATTTCAGTATTTGTGTTTTACCTTGCATAAATTTTTATATCCTTGTATGAACTGATCACTCCTATAGGGATTTGAGGGTTAGGGCTTGCAATAGACATATTAGGGTTTTAGTCTTGACAAGGGTAAAATACCAATTCTTGTATGACCTAGACCTAGACTTGCTTGAGTTGTAGACTTTATAATTCATCGCGTTTAATGCTTATTCTAAGAAGGATTACTAAGACATTAGAATTCTAATTAGAGTAAAGGGTTTAAGTCACTAAGACATTATGATTTAACCAACTATTTTTAGAAGATGAGTTGTCTGAAATATCTGAGGTAAATTGTTATTGAAATTAATTTAAACTACTTTAGGAGGATCTGAGGTGAAATAATTCCTAATTGCAGCTTTTGTCTTTGATATTCTAAATTAAATTCTTAATTCTTGCGTTCATGATATTCTTATTAATTAATGCAATTAATTTTAGTTTTATTTTAAATTCAAAAATTATTCTATTTTCCAAACCAATTCGAGTTTTCCAAATTAAAGGGACTAGTTATAATAGTATTTGACGCATTAATCCTCGTGGAACGATATTTTTATTTCACTACTTTATTACTTGAAACGATCGGTATACTTGCCGTAATCGCAACAAGTTTTTGGCGCCGTTACCGGGGATTAATCACGCCAATATTATTCATAACTTTCGATCTTTGAGATTGGAATTTATTTTTTATTTTATTTTATTTCTCTTGTTTATGTGCGGTAGAGTAGATCTTGAATCTCTACAATTTGATCCTGAAATAGAGAAAATCGCGAAAAAGAACAGAAAACTCACTAAACAAAGAAAACAAGTAGAATCTTCGAGTTCACAACCCAGAGCAGAACTCGAGATGGCTAAAAATAATTAGCCACGTCATGAAAAGGAGTTGATGGAGTCAATCCTCACTCTTAGTTTTACAAGGCCGAATTCGAGTCTCACGAGACCAACAATCGCGGCTAATAATTTTGAGATTAAGTCGGCGTTGGTCATATTGATTGAGCAATCTGAATTCGCGGGAGAGGACATAGAAGATCCTCATGAATTTCTTGACAGATTCCTTATGATTTGTGATGCGGTCAAGAAAAACGGAGTATCAGATGATGCGTTGCGACTACGATTGTTCCCGTTTGCTGTAACGGATGAAGCACTTAGATGGTTGGAACGACAACCAGCAAATAGCATAAGCACTTGGGAAGATCTAGCTGCAAAATTCTTAGCCCAATTCTTCCCGATGACAAAGTACAATCGGCTGGTTAATGAAATAACCAATTTCATTTAATCTGATGGAGAAACTTTATGTGCAGCCTGGAAACAATTCAAGGAGCTTCTGAGAAAGTGTCCTCAGTACGAGTTGCAGCCAGGGCAAAAAGTTCGAATATTCTTCAACGGGATGACACCAGCTTCAAGGATGGTTGTCAATGGTGCAGCTGGAAGATCTATCAGACAAAAGACACTCACTCAGACTCTAGAATTGATCGAGTCCATGGTAAGGATGGAGAATGAGAGTATAGCAGCTCAGCCAAAGAAATGAGTTCTCCAATTAGAAGGTAATGATGCCATGTTAGCTGAGCAGAAGCTTCTCTCACAACAGATGGCTATTTTGAATAAAAAGTTCGAAAAGCTTCACGCATCTTCAGATCAGACAAAGTCTATCTCCTGTGAATATTGTAAAGGAGAACATGAGACTAATGAGTGCAACGTACTCATAGGAGCAGATCCGATCCAAGTCAATGGGATCTGGTACGATCAGAGGACTCAGCAAAATCCTCAAAGAAATCAAAACAATGCTGCAACTGGGGGAAACACTTATCAAAGATGGAAGAATCAAGGAGGCCTCGATTACAATTCGAATCAATATTTACAGCCTCCTCCAATTCCACAAACTCAACCATCTGAATTAGAGAGAGCATTACTGCAGTTGACAAAGACAACTGACACCTTCATGAATGAAACGAGATCCCATCATAAAAATCAAGATGCATCTCTTAGAAACTTGGAAAATCAAATCGGTCAATTATCACGACAATTAGCTTAAAGGACTAAAGGCTAGTTTCCAAGTGACACCATAGTCAATCCACGAGCGGATTGCAAGTCAATCGTCACAAGGAGCGGAATTGTGATTACACCTCAAGAAAAGCCAAAAGCAGTCCAGAAAAATGCTGAGCTCAATGAAGAAGATGAGCAAGAAAAAGAAGTGGAAACACCTACAAGCAAGGAAGAGTCAGTTCAAAAAGACAAAGGCAAGGCAAATGAGCAAACTTTTGAAGCTCCAAAGAAACAATGGGATTATTCTCGTTTTGAGAAACCACCATATCCCATGAAGCTAAAGCAACAAGCATAAAAGCAACAATATGCTAGATTTTTAGATATGTTTAAGAAGTTGCAAATTGATATTCCTTTTGCTGAAGCTTTAGCTAACATGCCGAATTATGCTAAGTTTATGAAATATCTCTTGTCTAGAAAGCATAAATTGCAGGAATGTGAGACAGTAGCTCTCACAGAGGAGTGCAATGCTATTATTCAGAAGAAGTTTCTGCCAAAACTTTGAGATCCAGGGAGTTTTAATATCCCAATTGCGATAGGCAACATTAATGTTGGCCGGGCATTGTGCGATCTTGGAGCAAGCATCAACTTGATGCCATTGTCACTTTGTCAGTAATGAAGTCTCTTGGAATGTCAGAGTTGAAGCCCACTATGGTATCTCTACAACTTGCTGATAGATCTCTAGGAAGACCAAACGGAGTAATTGAAGACGTTTTTGTCAAAGTTGACAAATTCATCTTCCCTGCAGACTTCGTAGTCTTAGACATGGAGGAAGAAGGAGATATGCCCTTTCTCTTAGGTCGACCCTTCCTCGCCACAGCCAGAGCAATGATAGATGTAGAGCAAGGAAAATTAGAACTGAGGATGGATGACGAAAAGGTCACCATTAATGTATTTGATGCTATGAAGCATGCTAAGGATAATAATGACTGCTTCCGGGTGGATATTTTGGAGGAGCTGTTTCTCGAGAAGAAATCTGATGATCAGACCCTGGATCAAGAGATGAAATTCTTTGATGAAAACTCTCCAAAAGAAAATTCTGAATTTCCATTGGAAGAGTTAAAGAAAAAGGAGTCAGACATCATTGTTCAAGCACCAAAGATAGAGTTAAGGAACTCCCTTCTACTCTTAAATATGTCTTCTTAGGAGATGCATAAACTTATCCAGTAATCATCAACAAAGAGCTATCTAATTCTGAAGAAACAAAGTTGATGAAAGTACTCAATGATCACAAAACAGCCATAGGGTAGTCCATCTCTGATTTAAAGAGAATTAATCCTTCCTTTTGTACTCACAAAATCCTTATGGAAGACAACATCAAACCTGTGAGGCAACCTCAGAGACGACTCAACCCCACTATGAAAGAAATGGTTCGGAAAGAAGTAGTGAAGCTTCTAGATGCAGGCATGATTTACCCAATCTCAGATACTGCATGGGTAAGTCTGGTTCAAACATTGCCAAAGAAAGGTGGAGTTACAGTAATAAAGAATGAGAGCAATGAGTTGATTCCCATCAGGACCATAACTGGGTGCAAGATGTGTGTGGATTATAGAAGACTAAATGACGCCACACGAAAAACCATTTTCTCCTCCCTTTCATTGATCAAATGCTAGAGAGATTGTCTGGGCACGTTTACTACTGCTTCTTAGATGGCTACTCGGGTTACAATCAAATTCCAGTAGCACCAGAAGATCAAGAGAAAACAGC